TCTACCCCGTTAACTTTTCGTCCAATTTTTTAATTTTATTTTTTATTTTTTCGAATTTTTTTTATTTTTTCTTTTCTTTCCTTTTTCCTTTCCTCTTCTTTTTTTTTTGTTTCACCTTCAACCTCTGGCTGGTCGCCGATCCAGCGACCGGCCTGAGGCGGGGGCCGGCGAGGTCGGCCGCGCCAGCCGCTGGCGAGGCTCGGCCTCGCCCAACGCCGGCGAGGCCGACCTCGCCAATAGCCGGCGGGGTCGAGCCTCGCCAACCACGGCGAGGACAGGTCCGGCGAGGGCTCGGCCCCGCCGGCGATTGGCGAGGTCGGCCTCGCCCAAAGAACGGCGAGGTCGGCCGAGGCCGAACCTCGCCGTTGCTGGGCGAGGCCGACCTCGCCGCAGCCGGCGGGCCGAGCCTCGCCAGATCCGGCGAGGGCTCGACCACGCCGGCCGCGGCGAGGCTCGGCCCGCCGGCGTTGGGCGAGGCCGACTTCACCAATAGCCGGCGGGGCTGAGCCTCATCGTGGCTGGCGAGGCTCGGCCCCGCCGGCTATTGGCGAGGTCGGCCCCGCCGGCAACTGGCGAGGTCGGCCTCGCCCAGCAACGGCGAGGCCGAGCCTCGCCAGACACGGCGAGGCTCGGCCCCGCCGGCTATTGACGAGGTCGGCCTCGCCGGCTATTGGCGAGGTCGGCCTCGCCCAACGCCGGCGGGGCCGAGCCTCGCCAGCGACCAGTGGGGCCGACCTCGCCGGCCAGAGGTTGAAGGTGAAACAAAATAAAAAGAAAAGAACAGAAAAAATAAAAAAAATTCGAAAAAAAAAAAATAATAATATTAAAGAATTGAACAAAAAGTTAACGGGGTAGATTTTGGACAAAAGTAAAAGCTTAGGGTTTTTTATGAGACAAAAAAAGATTGAGATATAATTGGGACAAAGGTTAAAGTTGGGGTTTTTTAGGGAATTGGGCCTTCGGAATTAGGTTACTACTCCATAACTAAGTGATCTGCTCCATTATTAAATTCCAATCGTGCATTAATTGTCCTGTAATTATCAACTAAGCCCCCAGTCCCTTTTCGATTGGCTGAGCCCACATCACTTGTTTCATTAGCTTCTTTCAGCATCCGGAGTTTAAGCAAATTTGATTTCATTTAGGCATATGGCGAAGTCTTCGAGGCACATGTCTGAACATATGGCCAATCAACAATCCACAAATACCGAAAAAAGAAGTTTACAAAATAAAAAAAAAATTCTCAATTTCATAAAGTACTAAAATATTAAGTTTAATCCCAAGAAAAAAATTAAACTGAAATAAAATCAAAACTAAGAAAGAATAAACCCCAATTACTGCGTTCTGTCAAGGACTAAAATGATTTGCCCTGCAAGAATCAAAATTATATACACATACATGATATATTCATAAAATATTAAAAAATTGGAAATAAAATTAAATCAACCCATGATAGAAGATGAAGTTTAACACTTGATTATACACATCAAATAATAATAATGGAGACCTAAGTTTAGAGCAAATTTCGCTTATTGAGCTTTGGTTTTCAAAATTGATCAACCATGCGGTGTGCACAAGTAGTGTGGCTAGTATAGAATAAATCACTAACTAGTATAAACTCATAAGATATGTAACTATGACAATATCAGATAATGATAAAATCACTATATCTAGCCAATAGCACCATTCTCTTAGTGTAAAAGACAACTTAATTTTAGTTTTATTAGTGTAAAGTGGCAAAAGTATTTAGTAATTTTAGAGTACATTTCTCTTATTGAAATTTATTTTTTTAAAATTCTTATCCGTGCAATGTGCACGAGCATGTGGCAAGTATATTTGTAAATTATCACTAAATAGTAAATTCAAGAGATCTAATAATAATAAGGTTTTGTTAATGAGTACCATCACGATTCGAGAGGCGCATTAAGCAGCCCTCAAAACTAACTTCTTATCACTTAAGCAAAGATTCGAGCATGTTTAGTTGGGCTTTACAGTAGACGAAAAAAGGTTAATCTTGAATCTCCATTATAATAATCTAATTTATTATTAATAATAGAAATCTGATATCACTCGACGCATTTCTTAATAATAATCTGATTTCTAACTACGACCATAAGTAATAAGCTAAAAGTTAAAATAAGAAAAACTTCGTACTATACGTCCAGCGTCAAAATGGTCAAGTCAAATGAGTAGTGTGCTTAAGTCGACCCAGATAACTTTCCAAATTTCGACATTTTCTTCCCTTAATTGCAAATGAATTGATGATTTAATATTACAGACTTTAAAAACGAAGCCATAAACCTCTTCACCTCTCTATTTCTACTTCTGTCCATGAGAGGAAACTCGGATCTGCTCCATTTGTTTCACGGAAAAAGAATGATTTGAAAAAAAAAATTCTTAAAAATGATCGACTCATATCATTTACAAAAATAAATGACCAAAAAATATATTCATCGTCCACAAAAATGTTTAGACATACATTGTTGTCGATAATGAAAATACTTTTTATTGATTAATTATTTCAAGTGATACAAGCAATCATTTTTAAGAAAATATTTTATAAATCATTCATTTTCAGCGAAATAAATAGAGCCTTAAGCTCCTCAAATTGTCCACGAGATCGATGGCCATCGACATGGAAGTCTGATTATAAGATCAAGCATAAAACAATTGTTCATGTCTCATGTATCTCATCTTACAGATCTTATTAGCCAACCAGCTTAACAAAATTTTGGTTTCATTTGCACATGTGGCAAAATGTTTGACAGAGACCAAAAGAACATGCCAAAAGAAGGAAAAAAAATCCTACTGCAATGAAATACTAGAAAAATAAAATTCAACAAAAGATTAATCTGAAATAAAACTAAAATTAACCAAGAATAAAATCCAACAGCTAAGTTCAAATAAAGAACAAAAGAACATGCCAAAAGAGAGTAAATTCCCACTAAAATACCATGATATCCAATTCTGTTCCATATGAATTTGATAAAAAATAATCTTAAATTAAAATTAAAGCTAGAAGTGAAAATAAACAGAAAAATAAAAACCAATTGCTACATTCGGTCAAGGACTAAAATGCAATTAGGTAGGAACGAAAATTATACTCACATGTATAATCGAATGACATTGAGAGTGTAATTGAATTGAACCATGGAAGAAAATAAAGGTTAACAATTATTAATATGTGCCAAATAGTATAGAAGACCTAACTTAAGAAATCATTTGAATTCAGTGAAGAGCTAAAGTTATACATTCATTTTCTAGAAACTGAAAGATGGAGATTTTAAGATGAAAGATGAATTATAGATTCGATTTACGAAGATTATATACTAGAGTATGTTTCAGAATGTTATGCACATGTGAGATATTCCTCCTTCATTGAATCAGCTATTTGTTGATGTCATCAAGTATATTTAAAAGTTGTAAAAGCACAATTTAAGACTATTTCTTTTGTATTTTTAGTCAATAAAACGCTAGATGACAATACCCACTAACTTTAGAGCATGCTTCGCTTTTTGAACCTTGATTTTTGAAATTCGTCACTCGTATAGTGAACATGGGCAGAGTGGCTAGTCTACATGTAAATCACTGACTAGTACAAACTTGTAAGACATCTAATTATGACAACGTTACATGATTATAAAATCATTAAATGAGATGATTATCCCTCCAATTACTAGTTAGTGTTTAGTAAGGGGAGAAAAGATGGATATTTACCAAAGATAATTAAATTAATAAGAGTTTATTATGACCGGTCCATGACTAGTTGGCTAAAATTCTACATCGCAACCCAATGGATAGAATGTTTGAACAAAGCCGCCCTCTAGACAGATTGGTTGGCAGTAGGATCTGTTTCATTCGATTTGTGAAATCAGCCACGCATAGATGACCCGTTATTATTTCTTTTTGAAGTTATGCGATTCCTTTTTGATTGGTCGTTCTCTCAATTCGATGTTGGCTTAGAACATATTTGAGATTCCTATCCTCATATCTTGCCAATAGAACCATCGCAATTCCAAAGGCGCATTTAGTAGCCCCTACTACGTATTAAAAGCCAGCTTAAAGTTCTCCCCAATTTCCTTTTCCCTTCTATTCACAAATTAACCCTTTAATTGCAAAATTGACTATGATCACTCCCATTTCTTTTATGTTTGACCCCCGCATGGCTTTAACATACCAAACTTAACCTCCTAGAACTCAACCAAAGAGTCGAGCCGGTTTGCAAGAAAGTTAAAAAAAAAAAAAAGCACAAAAGAGCCAGTTTTGTATTTTTCTATAAAAAATAATTTGTAAGTTATTTGAGGTTTTAAAAAATTCCGGAAAAAAAAACATATGTGATTTTAGATGCTGACATAACATATTTTTGAAAATGGGTATATCCCGCATTAAATAATAACCTAATTTCATACTCCGAAGCTAAATAATAAGCTAAAAGTTAAAAAAAATCAAATGCCAAATCAGATACTCAAATTAGACTAATGAGAAGTAGGACATTCATTAAAATTGGAACTTGGCAATTCTTATCCAGCCTTAGACTGGTCAAATCGAATATGTGGTGCTCAAGCTCAAGCAAGATAACTTTCCATATCTACACCCCTTTTAATTTTTTTCCCTATATTGCAAATGAATTAATTAATGACACATTATTAGGGACTTTAATGACGAACCCATTAATCCCTCCACCTCTCTCTTTCTAGTTTTGCCTGAGTGAGGAAGCTTAGGAGTTACATCAGCTCGAGAATGTCGAACCGTCGGATCGTCGACGAGATCGACGGCTATTAACCCACCAAGGCTAATCACAAGCCCAAGCATGAGCAATTTTTGTTTATATACCTTTGTGCGTAGCTCATTTTAAGGATTTTTTAGGAGCAAGATAGGTTTAACAAAAAAAAAAACAAAGGGCGTCACCAACCTTCCCAAAATCAAGCGAATTCTCACGCCTAAGAGTAAATACTCCTTCCTTTATTTCAGCATTCTCATTCTTTCCTTCAAGCTTTTCTCTCATGGAAGGAGCTGGAGACAAGCCCTCTTTAAATCGTCCTTGCCTGCCATTCAAAGCTCTAGAGAGCTTCTTATGGAGCCAAGCACACATCTCCGACCACCAAGCGAGTTGTCACGAGAACACGAAGCAAACGGAAGAGAACTCCGCTCCGTTCGGTAATGCGTCGAGTGGGTTTGCTTTGGTCAATCATGGCCATCTCGCGGGCGATGCGATCTCGTGGCAAGGTCACCCGGACGTCGAGGCGAGCTTTGCTGACGGTCTGATCATGGATGCCGGTTCCTACGGGAACAACTGGGTGGTGGCGAATGAGCCAAACCCTAGAGAGGGTGCGAGAGATGATCGAGTGGTCAAAGTGCCGGGGAAGAGCAAGAAGTTGGCGACGGGGAAGAGAGTCAAAAGAGGGTCTCATGCGACTCTCATCAAAGGACAGTGGACCGAAGAAGAGGACAGGTTTTTATTCCTTCTTTTCTTTCATCTTGGATGGATATGTAATCTCTCCTTTTAGTTTCAATCTTTCTTTTTTTCTGCAAAAGAACTTGGGTGTGAAGCATTTTAGCCTTTGTTAGGGTTTGGTTTTTCATGTCTATGAATTCGCGTGCGTTCTGATGTTTGTGAAGAAAACTGGTGAGCTTGGTGAAGCAATATGGAGTGAGAAAATGGGCGCAGATTGCTGAGAAGTTGGCTGGTCGAGCCGGCAAGCAGTGTCGCGAAAGATGGCACAATCATTTGCGACCAGACATCAAGGTTCTCTCTCTCTCTCTCTCTCTCTCTCTCTCTCTCTCTCTCTCTCTCTCTCTCTCTCTCTCTCTCTCTCTCTATCGAAGCATCTGGTACTAATTTCACACTTGTTCTTCCGATTCTTCTTCCAAGTCTATGATCTGTATCAGCCCATGCTGAACTGTTTCCCCAGAATTTAGGTTTTGCTTCAGATTTTTATCACGAAGCTGTTTTGCACATACACCACTTTGTCGTTGTTGTTATATCCGTCGTTTTATATCGAAGATGAGAGTGTCTCGTTCTAAGCAATGATATAAAGAACTAGGTTGAACCCAGAAACACATGGGAATTTGTTTCGTTCGATCACTGCAGAACTTTAATTTATCGTTGGAAATAAAAATAAAAAATTTAATCTTGCTTATCATCTTGCAGTTTGATAAAAATTACATGAAAAAAAATAGGGAAGAATTTACGTCCAAGACCCAGATCGTATATCATGTGAAGCTTTCATCGATCCTTCTTCAGTTGATAACGGAACGTCTCACGCCTGTTTCCTCCCTCTTTCCCTCACTTTGAGAGACATTTTCAAATACAAAAATGTTTTCTAGCGGTCGACTTTCTGGTGCTTGTTCTGACAACGCCAACCGTACTTTGATTCCACCCCTCTTTTTCCCCAACACACCGTCATTTTTCATGTGAATTTGAATAATAATATGCAGCACTCCAGCCCATCGTCTCTCTCTCTAAACGTTCTGATTTAGGCTCAAAGTTTCTCACAATCTGAAAGATTAGCTCTAGATATTCAACGGATCCAAAGTTCACCCACATACCCTCTCAAACAAAAACAAAGAAAACCACTTGGGTCGTTACAAAGTTGCCAGTGTGACCTTAATTCCTGCGAGAGAGAGAGAGAGAGAGATTTCAAATGGCTTCTTTTGACCGGATTTTACTCGTGTTTTGCCTCTCACATAGTTTCTGGTTCCAAATGTCATGCGATGTGTGAAATAGAAGGACAGCTGGTGCGAGGAAGAGGAGAAAATACTGGTGGGGGCTCACGAGGAGGTCGGCAACAGGTGGGCTGAGATCGCCAAACGCATCCCAGGCCGCACTGAGAACGCCATCAAGAACCACTGGAACGCCACCAAACGCCGCCAGAATTCCCGGCGGACGAAGCTCGGCCTCCACGGCGGTCAGCACCACAACACCACTCAAAGCGGTGGCAAGAACAGTAATAACAATAACAATAACAAGCCACATTCTTCCGTCCTTGAAGACTACATCAGGAGCAAGAACCTCCACAACACCGCCACCGCCGCACAAGCACAGGCCAAGAAAGCTGGACCTAGCCCCACTGAATGCAATGACCCGCCAAAGCAGCAGTTCCATTTCTTCCTTCCGGAGCTGTCGGAGACGTATGACGATGAGGTGCGTTTCATGCAGAAGTTCTTCCCGGCCAGCAACTACGGCGACAACCGGCTGCAGCTAGGCGATGTGACTGGGAAAGACCGCCTTATAGACAGGCCGAGCATGGTGGTTCACACCGACAACATGATTGAAGCAACTGGTGATCAAGTGAGTCCCGCCACCAACGCCAAGAGCCTCCTGATGAACAATCCTGACCTCTATCTGTCTTCCTTGTTGAACGGGGTGGATTATCACTCGTCTTGCTCTTCTTCCAATTCGGTTGGGTATCACTGTGGCTATGGCTATGACTACAATGGTGCGAGCGGAGGGACGGCGGTGGCAACTGATCAGGCCTTCACGCCATACGGTGGGAGAGAGATGGATCTGATAGAGATGGTGTCTTCCTCTCAAGTTTCCCAGGGTAGCAATTAGCATGCATGAAGCGCACTGCGCTAGGGTTTCTGAGGGTCGCTAAGCTTTTGGGTCGACATGCGTGTGGTCAATACTTCTGGTTTAATTTCTTTTTCTGTTTTGTTGATGATTTGTAGAGTTATAGAGAACTAATCTGTGAGTTTGAACAAATGATCTAATTTCTTGGTTTGAGCATCGTTTGGCTAAAAAATATGTGTTGCTTCTATCACAGAGTTTGACATAGCGCTGAGGGTATTCAAACCAACATTACAATGAAAAGAACTTTAGCTCTAGATTAATTTGTGTGATTTTAGCCACATATTATCAAAACAACATATACAAATAATTTGTGTGATTTAGCTATATCTTCTGTTGGCCGTTTGTGTACTTCATTTTTGTATCAATACTATAGTCCTAATTACGACAACGCAGCATAAAGAGAAAGGTATAAGAGTTGCGTAGTCACTTGATTTTTGCATACACCCTCCATTAGATGATTGACATAAGATAATTTTGTGGAAACATTTTCTACGTACAAAAAAAAATTAATTCCATCCACTCTCACTCCTTGTCCTTGATATTTCCATAATTCAATGAGAAAATTCGATTCATAGGAAACCATAATAGAGATATAACGCTTAACAGCTTCACAATGATTTAGGAAATCAAAGTTATCAAGGTGGAACTAGAAAGAGAAAGATTTTTGAATTTAAGTAATGTTCAACGAAAAGGAAAATGCCAGGCTTAGCCACAGATTAGTTAAAACAATAAAAGAAAAACTTATACTTGGTGCATGTGTGACCGCGGAGTTTAAATTTAGAAACTCCTCCATAGTAATTAAGATACCAATAAAAAAAATGGTATGCATCACCCTAGGAGCTACGTATTCAAATTTTTGCAGGGACGACAATTGGAAAACTAAAAATAGTTTCAACTTTCAACTTTCCTTCGTCACAATAACAAAAGAAAAAGAAAGAGGAAAAATTTCAAGATCGAGCCCATTTTCTTAAAAGAACATGAGTTGCACTTATTTAAGTGCACCATCAACCACTGGGGGCTTGCCCAGTGGCCACCATTCTCGGGTGGGGAGCTCGAAACTCCCCTCCTCCGAATAGCTTGATTTATCGGTTAATGAGGTTTCTCCATAAGGGCCCGCTAGGTAGGGGTGAGCGCGGTTCCAGGGTAGAACCGGGAACCGGAGAACCGGACCCGGTGGATCCGGTTCGGTTCCAGGTTCCATGGACAGAGGGTCCGGTTCCCAGTTCCACATTTTTAGGAACCGGAACCCGGAACCGCAACCGAAACATTAACTTAGTATTTAGAAACCCTAATTCCCAAATGCTCCCTTCTCCTCCTGAATCACACCCGATCCTCCATCATCGTCCCTCCAAAGCTCCCTCCTGCTTCCGCTTCTGCCTCGCTCCTTGCTCCCGCTTCCGCTTCGCCTCGCCCTCGCTCCCGCTTCCATACTCTCCAGCTTCGACCCCGCTTTCAAGAACCATGCTTTCTCGCCTATAGATTCGAAAGGAAGCACTTTCGCTCTCAGTGGCCTCTCCGTCTTGGTTTCGAGCCATTGGAACAAGCTTCCGCAAGACCGTAGAAGAAAGATCCGAAGCTCCGGGAGCCGGAGACTTCCCTTTTCTCTTGCTCCAAGGGCTGTTCTGTTTCGGATTTTACCCATCTTCTTGCTGATTCTTGAGGTGACCCAAATGTTTTTAAGTGTTGGGTGTCACTGATTTAAGTCGAGGTACGGAATGTAGATCTTTTCGGTTGCTGAACTGCAAATTTTGGTGCTTGTCTATGGTTTTGTGGGTCTGTTTGTTTTGATTTGAGATTTGCTTCTGGGAGTTTTGGGCTTGCTGTTCTTGGTGATTCTAGCTGGTTTAAGAGGTCAGTTAAAGCTCAAAACTTCCTAGTCCTTAATTGAGAGCTGCAACTCCGAAGTGAAGTGGGTTTGCAAGAATTTTTGCTTGAGATGTGAGTGAATGGAAACTCAAGAATGCGGAGGCAATTATATGTTGGTTTCAATTGGCAGTTCACGAATTGTATGAGCACAATTGGCTCGGGATGGTGTCCTTTTCGAAACGTGATTTTTCCTTTTCGATGTTGTTCGGTTGTAGTTCGGATTAGGTAAGCAATCAAATCTTGGTGTGGGTACTGGATTGAGCTACTCCTGGTGGTACTGGAGGTGTCAAGACTATTGAGATCAGTGGAAATTAGCCATTGATTTCTTCCAGTGGAACAACTGTATAATTAAGAGCCTATGCGGCATTGGCTTCTTTTGTTTGAGTCTTTAGAACTTTTGCCTTGTCTTGTTCCTTATTTGGCTTTTGAAGTCTGTTGGTGTTGTTGATGCCCGTGCAGACACTGTATTTGAAGTGCTTTCAAACCTTGAGCGCCAGCGGAGATATGAGTAAGCTTCATAATTTTTCTGTATAGTGCCATTGCCTTATATATGGCTCAGCTCATCTATTATATCCGCAGGTGGGACCCATTCACTAGTGATCTGGAGTTGGTAGAATCTTATGATGGACACTATGATGTTGTTTATGGGACATATGATCCAAAATACCTCACCAGGTAAGGTAGATACAAGATAGACCTGTCTTCGTTTTCTTTATCACTGAGCGGTGTTATGGCGTTGTGATTCCAAAGATCTTATATCCCTATCATTTATTCATATTTGTGTTTAAGAACATGCAACTGGAGTGATACAATTGTCTTAATAATTAATTTTTGTGTTGCTGTTGAGGAAACGGTGTAGAAACTTATTTTAGATAAAATTCTCTGGACTGAGTGATTTATGACAATGTTCGCTTAATTCCTACCCTGTAATTCTTTAAATCTTATTTGATCAAAGGCTCATGTCCATACTTCTATTGTCTTTCCAGTTTGATCTTTCTGAAGTTTTAAATCTCAAACATAATCTTTTTGCCATTTTAAAATTAGAATGTCTTGCTCTTACAATTTATACAATGTCCGTGTTTCACATTTTACTAATTGATCAGCCAAGACTGAAAAGATCTTATATGTTTTGGTACTCCTACAGCGATAAAAGAAACTTATGCCACATCGAGAAACTCCTTTCATACATCTAGTTCTTGGCTGTACATAGTACTGTGAAGTATATGTGTGCAAACATGTGCCTATTGTCACATCAGGGCATTGTGTATGTATCATTAAGATGATCTAATATTGCGTTTATTTTCGTTTTGTTTAATTCAAAACGAAATTAAAAAAAAAAAGAACTTGTTGGAATCTGGAACCGACCCTGGAATCTGTGACAGGGTAGGTTCCGGGTTCCTCATTTTGAGGAACCTGTACCCGAGGGTAGGTTCCAGGTTCCAGGCGGAACCTACCCGGAACCTGGAACCGCTCACCCCTACCGCTAGGAGCCCGCCAGCTCTCATCGTAAGGGAGTTTCAATTTCCAAAAATACAATTGGCATACCATAAAAAAAAGTACACCCCCAAAGTCGACCATCTCGATTCAACCGACCACGCGATGGCCCCGTGCTCATATGTCGTAATTTCTCTACAAAGTGTCTGAAATACAAAACTTTAAAAGCTTCCAATTGCTCACTGAGATTTATTCCTTTGAGATCCCGTGGTTACAATAAATCCCCAAAACTTTATGTATTCTTTAACCTTTAGCATTTATTATGGTTTCTTGGAGGGATGTTTTTTTTTTTTTTTGGTAACGAGGATCCGCCACTATTCCCCGGGGACGAGCCCGCACAGGTAATCGGGGCGCCTATACCTCGGGGGAGACCAGCCCAGCAACCCACCGCCAGGGCCCCCCACTTAAATTAAGGAACCGAGCGGGGATTCGAACCCGGAACCTCTAAGGAGGAAAGGAAAGCGCCCACCAACTCAGCCATGCACAGGTGGTTCTTGGAGGGATGTTGATTATTCGATATTTAAAAAAAAAAGGAAATCCCATATGAGCCAAAATTGAAAAATTGAACTTGCATCCAATAAGTACCTTATTTCAACTTTGTTAACCTATACAATATTAACACCGACTTTGTTAATAAGTGTCCTAAGTAACTTGTCAATAGGGATGGAAGCAGGACCGGTTTGAGACGGCTAACCTCATCTCGAACCCATCTGGTTAAGCTTTTATTACTTCCCATACCTATCCTAATCCCATTCTAGATTTTGATATAAAATCCCAAACCCGCCTCACTGATGTAGTAGAGTATCGGTCGAGTACTTGCAATTTGCTATATTACTAAAACAAACTAAACACGTAATAAACCACATCAAATTTGCAAATACAAACATTTATTTAAAACTCATATTTTGCAGGTCTTCAATTAGAAAAAAAAATACAAAAGTACAAAATATAATATTAAAAATGTTAAGACCAAGGATCATGAAAATGTGAAACAATCATAACATGTGAAATCAGACTTGAAATAGTGGCTGATACTGAAAACATTAGTCTACAATTCAATATCTAAAAGGATTAGAAAAAATAAACAAGTCACCTTAGTTGTTTACATAAATGATTTATGGAGTTGTACTTTTGAGTTTACCCATAAGGTAAATCTCGAAAACGTGTTCAATCCTAATACCATTGAAATAATTATGTATGTTTACTGAATGACCTAAGGATTATCAAGGAAATAAAGGCATTTTAGTAATTAATACATATCAGGTTCAATATGAGTTTCCCTGTCATGAAAGCCTGAACTCATCCCAACCCCGCTAGAATTCTTTAGCAGTTGACCCCAACCACCTTATCTTAGTAATTGATACATTTAGGGCGTGAATAATAACCATTTTGTTTCTGTCCAGAACTAGTTTTCTGTTCCCGGAAACAGATTTGGAACAGAAACCCGTTTGGTAATGCAATTTCATTTTTCTATTTCTGGAACAACTTTTTGTTCCAGAACTGGTTCTGGACCAAAAATCAGAACAAAAAAAAGTAGGTTTTCTGTTTCTGAACGAGAAATGAAAATCATTTTTAAAAGAACCTGTATTCTCTCTTCAAAACATATCTCTTCCTAAATTTGGCCCCGGTTAATTCCCGGCGGGAAAATAAAAAAATTCTAAAAAAAATTAGAAAAATCATAAAAAATTAGAAAAATCAGAAAAAATAAAAAAAATTAATAAATTTTTTTTAGAAAATCCGGAAAATTTCTAAAAATCTCAAAAAAAATTTCAGAAAATCCATAAAAATTCATAAAAATTTCCAGAAAATAAAATAAAAAGTCAAATTTCGGGAAAATAGGAAATTTGGTGAATTTTTTCAAAAAAAAATCAAAATATAAAAAATTTCAAAACTTCACAAGATGGCTTAGAATACTTGTGGCCACCCACTTTGAGTGAAATTTTAAATTTTTGAGGTGCCCAAATGGTATTTTTGAAGACTCTTTAGTTTAGGAATTTAAAAGGGGTTTTAACCCCTAAAAAACCCTGAAAGGGGTTTAACCCCAAAAGGGGTTCTAAAAAAATGGATTTCTATTTCGGAAAATAGAAATTTGTATTGTTATCAAACAGGTTTCTGTTCCAGGAAATAGAAATTTTATGCTGTTATCAAACGGGTTTCTGTTCCAGAAATAGAAATTTTTTGTCGTTATCAAACGGGTTTCTTTTCTCAGAAACTCGTCCTGGAAACAGAAACAGAATGGTTATCATTCGCGCCCTTAGGGATTGGCAAGTGGCTACCCATCGGGCATCTCGATTTCATTTCTACTTGTTAAACATCCAAATAAGGAGAATTGGTTAAATGCATCGTCTCTCCCGTGTTATATGTAATTATTGGCTATCAAACCTTTCTTTTTTAGGTATTCTCATTCGCAAGACCCTAGCACAGTAGATTCTTGCATGTTTTTTAAATTAATTTATTTGGGACAATTATTGTTGCAGAAGGTAAGCAATTGAACAATAAAATAAACAAAATGAGGAAATAAATCATACACCATATTTACGTTGTTTAATCAGTGTGATCTACATCCATGTGAGAGCAATACAGAATTCTACTATATATCAAGTAATACAACGGAGATTACAATAACACTCAAATAACTCAAATACTTTCAGTGTTTTCTAGCCCTCAATTACTACCAATAACTCACACAGTATTTAGCCATCATAATTCTTCGCAAAATAATCTCTCAATCTTACGTAAGAATTACATAAAATCTTAACGCAAGATTTTCACTGTTTCAAACACTCGGTGTGTAATTCACGAACACAAGCACCTCTTACATACTCTTCACAAAGAAATCACACTTCTTATATAGACAGGAATTCGATGCAATATGAAACTTCTTTTTAAGAAATATTTTCCAACTAAGAAACCATTCAACTAGAAACTAACTCAAATTATGAAACCTACTTAAATTAGGAAAGTTTCCTTTTCGAACTCAAACTTAAGACATATTTTCAACAATCTCTACCTGTGCTCAACATTTGAGTGGAGTCACAATTGCTTCTTTGAAAATCGAAACTTTACTGCTACTCTCCCACAACCCCACATGGGCTTAACCGCCATAGACATTTTTCAAGTCAAGCCATGCTGAAACTTTGGCATAACTGTGTACCTCATCAAAACACCAACTCCACATGCACCTTTTTATACTCCACAAAGATTCTCAAGTATAACCTCCTCTACCATAGATAAAGTAAAACCACTGTTACATCCATTTCTATCAGAAGATTAAACACCCACATTGTCAAACTCATCAGCTACAACAACTGTTAGTTCTATAGGCTTTACATCGCTACAAGCACCATATGTGTTTATTACCACGCTAGTACCCACTACCTTAGAAGTTTCTATTTGTAACTCCACCTTAGGCTGAACACCGTTCATATGCAAATAAGCACTACCGCAATCATTCCTAGCCAGAAAGACTAGCTCGTTAAATGTAACTTCTTTGTTGACAACAAATGAATTCAATTCAAGACGCTACAATCGATAGCTCCACTCACCTTGTGCATGACCTATGAATATGCACTTTATTGCAATCGCATCGAGCTTACCCATCACCGACTCGAACATAACACGGACAATCAAATATTCTAAGGATAGAACAATGAGCAACATTACCTGACCACATTTTTTCGGGAGTCCAACATCTAATCTAGTCGATAGGGATCAAATCACTAGGTAGCTCGCCTTATTAAGTGCATCCGCGAGAAATCTCCTAATTTTGCCAGTACTAGAGAGCAATTTATGGGCCGTCTCTAGTAATGTTCTGATTATCAATTCTACAACCTATTGTGGTACTAGTGCGATGTCTCATTGTGCCTTTCTACATGCAAAATTCGTTTAATTACTCTAAATAGAACTCCATGCTACTATCAATCCACACATGTTCCAGTATTCTTTTCGATCAAAACTCTCAACTGCCTAATCCTGGCAATAGTATCAAACTTGTGCTTCAGCACAAACACCAAAGTCTTTCTTGAGTAGTCATCCACAACTATTAGCATATATTTGGTACTCTTCTTAAAAAAAAACTGCGACAACTTGCGACCAACCCAGTGAATCAACTCTGCAATCTCTGTGGTTTCTCCGATAGTCGAGCTGAACTACACTTTCCCTCATTGATGTAAGTCATAGCACTAGCATACATATAACTTATGAGTAATATAATTACACAATAAATTCCTTTCACTTATATCTTTAGGCTTCTCTCGCCAATTTGCCCCATGTATGTCACAATTCAGATTCTCGAACTGGTGCATCCAACGTCTCCGCGGCGAAATTCGTCACCGTCTCACCTTGAAGCTCATACAGGTCACTATATTTAATTCTTCTCATTATCACCACGGTACCTTGAACAACCTTCGAAACTCCACATTCTGAAGTATACCAACACTCAGCTGAATCTAAGGTATTCTAGGAATAAGATTCTTCTTCAATTATGGAACATGCCTCACTTTAGTCGATATCATCATGATATTATACATTATAATCTAACGTCCCAACACCCACAACATTTACACTCACATTGTTAGCCAACTACACTTATTACTATTCATGCATTAATAAGTAGTAAACCAGTTTTTATTCAGTGCAGCGCAAATTGAACAACTAGAATCCATAATTCATCCATCCATAATCAGCATTATTCTAATTCCTTTACCCTATTCATTCTTTAGTTTTAGGTAATTTCTTCTAAGATACCCCATCTTGCCACAACATCACCGGTCCTAAACTGACTGCGCCTGTTCATGTTCGCACTACTCTTGCTAACACGATTACTAGTTCTTCTTTTAGCTTCACCTACTAAAATAAGTTCACTGGATGCTCTCCTACGAATGTCTTCACTCATAATCAAATCGCGAAACCCCATCAACTGTCTAGCTTGTTGACCTTGAGGAATTACTAACAACAGTAACAGTAGTATTTCAACTATCAGACAATGAACACGATATAATCAAAGCATATACCTCATCTTCAAAGCCAATATCACTGAACTCAATTGGCTAACGGCCACATTAAATTCAGTGATATGATCAATAACCAATGCACCTTCGCCCATCACTAAGTTAAACAGATGCGCAATAAGTAGACTTTTTTTTATTGTAGAGGGCTTCTCGTACATGTCTGACATGGCTTTTATCAAACCCATGGTAGTATTCTCTTTCACGATGTTAAACGCGAGATTACAAGTCAACTTTAGCTTAATAATACTCAGCGTTTGTCTATCTAGCAAATTCCAATTAGCTTGCTTCATCGAGCCTAAATTCCAATTAGCTTGTTTCTCCCGAAACAAGAGTAGCATATTGCTCTTATAAAGATAATTCTCAATTTGCATCTTTCATAAACAAAATCCTTCACATTAAATCTATTGATTTTCACTTTTCCTTTTTCTGTGACCATCTATTTGCTTTAACTCAGTCAAACCTGGCTCTGATACCAATTGTTACGGAAGGTAAGCGATCGAACAATAAAGTAAACATAATAAAAAATAAATCAAATGTTAAATTTCATAATTCAGTCGGTATGACTTACATCCACGAAGAGAGTAGCACATGATTTCACTATAAGCGAAGCAACATAATGGAAATTACAACCACAATCGAGTAATTCAAGCATTATCAGCTTTTCCTATCCCCCAATTACACTTAATAATCCACACAATGTTTAGCCCTCACAATTTCATGCGAAATAATCTCTTAATCTCACAAAAGAATTAGATAAAATCTTAACACAAGATTTTTACGGCTTCAAACACTCATGATGTAATTCACAAGCACAAGCTTCTCTTGGATACTCTTCACAAAGCAATTCCTCTTCTTACATAGACAAAACTTAGATCCAAAATAGGATACCTCTTTTTAAGAAACCTTCTTAAACTAGAAATCAACTCAAATTAGGAAACCTACTTGAACTAGGAAAATTCCTTTTTCGGGCTCAAACTTGAGGCATATTTTCAACAATTGCAATAAGTAACTCATTGTAACAACTGGATGTATTCGTAATTTGCCGAGAGATGAGTTGGCTGGCTTACTGCCACTTCAGATTTCTGTTTGCGCTCATCTAACTTTTAAACTTTTTCCCCCCTTTATTAAATACCTCAGGTATGAAATTATAGCGATAAAGTGTTCGAATGTAATTGCTCGTGTTTTTCACTTCATGTAGTCCCTGAACGTGCAGTCACATAATGTGGTGCTCTTCCAACTCTTAATTATCAACCAACGGTCCAAGCCTTCCCTTGTAGTCATTTTAACCATGTAGGTGTAACATCAAAATCTTTAACATGTTGATATTCGGAGATAAGCTTTAAGTTATGCGAGCTTGCTCGCATATCGAACAAGTATGGTCGGCGAAGATTGTAGTCGAGGTACGTGGTTGAGGAACAAACTAGTTCCTCTGCGATCCTGTTCCAGAAGTCCTGTTTGCTGAAACTCTGTCCTACGCGAGTCAAGTGATCATGCAAAATGATATTACAAGCGCACCCTAGGTTTGTTACAAATTTGTCACTCAAGAGGCAATATAAAATGTCGTCAAGATTGTACTGAAGCCAAGGTTGATGACAAGTCGAGAGCACTGAATAGTCGAATTGAAGAATACCGCATTAGCACAGCTCTGATACAAAATTCCATGGGAAAGCTATTCTTTGGGGAAAAAATCGCTTTGCTGCTATTTGCCTAGATTGCCAATGATACAACACGGATGCAAACTGTTATTTTGCCTCTGGTCAACGGAGATCATACTCACTTCAGAAGCGGAATACCTGAACCTCTTAGAAAACAAAACTGCCCTGAATTATGGAAACATTGAAAAAATCATCATCGTGTGCAGAACCTCTGCTTGTTCATCCATTAGGAGATCCATATCAGCCAGAATTAGTTTCCTTCATAGAGTGCCTAGGTTTTGCGATCAAGACATTTTGGCCCTTGCAAAAAATATTCCGGCAAATAGACCTGGAACAAAGATTCCGTGTGAGATGATTTATATTCAGCAAGTGAGCAAATTTAGCATTGAGTTTGGAGTAATTTCAGTGATTACCAAATAGAATACTGAAAAAGTTGGGTACACTTAGTGGAACCTTGAACACAAGTAGACCAGCGATAGAGATGGGAATCTTGTTTAAGGAACCCACCAGACTGCAAAAGAATACAAGACACATAAGTCATTCTAAAACGCACGGCAGTTTAGTTGTGCTGCATAAAAAGATAACACCTCTTGAGTGATACGAGATATCCAATAAATACTTAAAACAGGTGTACTGAGAAATCCATGGAGACTAATTTAAGGTAGAGAGTGAGTTGAATTTATTGACAAATCTATGACCCAAGGCCAAGGACTAGTTATTGGGAGCGATAACTGCTATACTCAAGCAGAACATGTAAAGGACGCAGCCCGTAATCCTCTAACCTTTTCAAATAGTTCTATCTAATTACTTGATTGTACAATTGCAATGGTGAATTGGACATCATCAAGAGAAACTTTCCACCTAATTGCAAGTCCCACCATGATAAAGTACCTGTAAGTGGTTGGCCCAGTTTGATGCAGAAACCACATAGAGGTAAAGCTAATGGCGAGTCCAAACAATCCACTAGCTGTCGCAACAACCCAAAACATGGGCATTCTTATTACGTCCCTGTATATCCCCAAACATGTGAGATAAGGTAACAATAGCTTTGAAAGAGATTGTATGTAAGCTGAAGTGGTGAAACAGTAGATCTTTACGTATTTACTATGTACTGCCATTCACCAAAGAGTAGGATAGAGAAGACGGCGAAAGGTAGAGATAATAAATTATTCAGCAAGACCATTGAGACTTCATTGAGAGATCCAGATCTTGTGAATTGTTTAGCTTTGTCCATCACCCGACGCAGAGTGAGCTGTGACAAATACAAATGTAGCATGTTGATTAGAAAGTGATGCAGAGATGCCAAAATGGATCTGTGCCAGACAAGTACTGTTTTGATACTCCTTCCACCAAACTAACAATTCAAAAACAATCTTCTGAAAAATCACTAATTTGACTAGTAAGATTGAGAATGAGCCAATGGAGCAAGGAAAAATTACGTACCGAATAACTTGCTGTAAAAACACAATTTAAGAATTGCCATGCGTAGCCCACCGAATCAAAGGAGAGGTCAGTGATACCACCAGTGATAGCAGAGATTATCTGCAGTAATAGATACATTTAGCACCCATAGCTCGATCTCTACATCCATGAAGCGGGAAATGAGAAGGTAGAAGTTTATGTAGTGTTACTATGATGCAGACAGAATTACGAGATTGTTATGCTGCAGTACCTTTGTGCAAAGTTCAAATTAAGAGCCATTTACATATAGCCCTCAAACCTCAAAGCAGAAAAAAATGGTGGATTGAAAAACTAATTTACATCAACAATCTTTAGGCCTATCCTTTAGATGCCCTGAAAGAAGAGAATGAGGTCCGTCTATAGTCCAGTGTTTCAGTTACGGCAATTTTCTCAACGTGGGATGATTTTCTCAACATGGATTAGTAACCTTGTACAAGTCATCTAGAAACTTTCCAAACAGATCAAGTCATGATCACGGGACCATTGAAGAACTCTGACGATGTGATTACAAGAAGACCTTCTCAAGTTTCTGCTGTCCCGAAAAGAGCAAGATAATAAAGAGATATTTCGACAGTTGCAAATTTCGAGGGAACAATGTCTAATCATACAGAAGTATAATTTACTGGTAAGCTGCTTCATGCTCGAGCCTTTTCCTAAGGCATTTGGTGTTTCATAATCGAAGTATTATAAGCCAAAAAAAATGAAACTGATCCATATGTCATCCAGATTACATCAGGTTCAAGGAAAGATTGAGAAAACGAGGGGTTTCCTAACCATATAAAATTTTAGCAGGTGGATTAGGAAATGGTTCAAGAACATATTTACATGTGCGACTGAGGAGAAGTGGAAGAGGACCATTACCATTAGAAACATAGCAATCCAAACCTTCTGGTTCTGGTGCTTCCGGAATATATACAATTCACCAATTGCTGTCAGAATATTTGTTACATTCTTCAAAATTGTCACCATTGCAATGTTTATATATCTCAAACTGAAGAGGAAATGCAAGAGAGTATTAAATATATTATTTTCAAATACATCCCATCCAGGGGAATAACAAAAGACAGAAACGAAAATGAGCTTTTGCTTTCATTAACATCCTCCAAACTTGGGTTCCAGGTCTACCTTATGAAACTACAATTGCACAAACTATTGTTGACGTACCTATACATGCCTGAAACAAGCATGCCAATGAAGATAATATTCACAGGGAGCCAGACCCTAATGAGCTTCCAATTGAGCTTTTCCACTGAAACTACTCCGAATAGACCCAGGACAGCTACAATTACCGAACTAATCAAATTCTGCAGTCAAGTCATGCAAAACTCAGTTTCTCAAATCACTGGCCATAATCGAGGAGTAGATAACAATACATACATTCAGGATAATAACCCCCAGAACTCATTTAATAGTATATGGCGAGAATACTTGAAAGGAAGAGATAACATACTTGATAAAACATCAAACTTATTCCAGCCTCGAAGTTATAACTTGATAGGACAACTTTGTTTAGCAATATCATACTGCAAGAGGAAATGCAGTAAGCTGTTCCAGATACCAGAGGTCCAGATCTTCTTGCTGATCCATTCTCACGCTTTGCACCATCATGAATTGGAAGGCTGATACTTTCACTCATAGCTGCTCGGTTCCCTCTAAAAAACCTGCTTAGTGCTTATGCTAAGTAATTAGATTGTGTTCTGTCTGTATCTATAAGCTGTCTGAGGCTTAAACGTTATTTCTCTATGTAAAATTGCAATTCATTCACTGCATGGAAGGGTTTCAGATTAGCAGCAATTGGCTGGACACATCAAATATAAACTTTGAGAGCAACAGGGTAGCTAAATCCAGTGAGAGATGTTATCCTACCGGTCATGAATTGATCTATGTTCTTTGTTGGACACGGTGCCGTTAGTTGATCTCAATCCTTGCTTTTCAGCATCATCTACCATCCTGAATGCTAAATTACTTCTTGCACCTGATGACGCCACTTCTCCATCTAAATGGCTTATCTCGTGCTCCTCATAGCCGTGACGGTTGATGGCATCTAATTTGAAATCAGATGGCATGCCAGGCTGCATGCTGAAGAAAGTGGAGGTTAATTTTCATAAGAGGACAATAGAAGGTGTGAGGAAAAGCTATTGATTCCGAAATGGGTTCTAAATTATCGCCAAGTTCTATACAACTCCGCTACCAATGCCGAGTGGAAAGAAACTCTGAAGATGTCAGCTAAAATTAGAAACAAGAAGAGTCTTGCCATGAGACGATTTCAAGGAACTAATGGGTATCCATCTAAATATGTATATTGGAGATGAAACATAAGTAGGACAACTCTAATCCTTTCCTTCATTTGCTTTTGCTTTTTGGCACAGTCAAAACGACGGCATTAAATTGGAACAGGGAAAAATCGTCCCTGCCTGAGCCCCCCCAATTTTCAACTGATCTCATCCTATCAGATTCCGTTTTCTCCAAAATGAAACGACCAAGCTCAATAAAACAAAACTGATTCGAGCTCTCAAATTGCGCAAACACAAGTAAGAGAAAAAGGGAAGGAAAAAAAAACCCAGTAACCAAGCAATCAAAGAGCAATGGACCAACACGAAATGAACCTGAAGCACGTACATGGTGAACCGCGGGGACGAAAGTATCACGTGAAGTCCGAAAGCGTTTCTCCAGAAACCAACAGCAGAGCAACTCCACCCCACACACACACGCACACACACAAAAGGATGCAATAATGCGCGCAGAGCAGGACTCCAAAGCGATCGTTTTAAAGAGAGAGCGGAGAAGCGGAAAGCATGCGCCAACTGTAGTAGGCAAAATAATCACCAGGGCGATAATGCAGAATGCGTGACGAAGCGAGATCTTTCCCGGGAGCACGCAAAGGGCATAGGGAGAGAGAGAGAGAGAGAGAGAGAGAGAGCTGTAAAGATGAAAGCTTCGAAGGGTGACAACAAGAGTAAATGAGGAACGGAGTGCGAGAGAGGGGGACGGATCGGACTGTCGGTGATCATCCAGGAGTTCAAAAAAAGGGAAAGAAAGAAAGAATAGGCGGGCCGGAACACAAGTCTCGAGGTCGCAAAAGTCAAATCCACCGTCAATGGCGGCCATTCCACGTTATTCTTCTCCCCGCTCCTGCTCGCTTCGAGATTGGGGAAGAAGAAGAAGATGATGATGATGATGGTGATGATGGAGGCGGAGGAGGAGGAGGTGGTCAAAGGCTTCGCGAGGTGTCGTTCTGCGAATCGGACGCGTACCTGCGAATCGGAAGGAGGAAAAGGAAAACTGCAAAGGAGCAGCAATGCCGAGCGGGAGATCTTCGAAGCCAGCTTTTTGCGCGGAAAATAAGGTGGGCCCCGATATTATATTATAAAATATCGAATAATGTCGGGAGCAACAGTATCGTAAAAACCGATGATAATTTCACGCATCGCTTTGGTTATTCAATTCTGAAAAATCAAATTTTATTTTTCCAAGGTAAAAAATTTTAAGGGATAATGACACTGACATTCTCTGAACTTTGACTCAATATGCAATTTGGTTCATGAATTTTTAATTTGTTCAATGAGTCCCTGAACTTTATGCTAATGTTCGATGTGACCCCTTAACTTTTAATTTGTTCAATGTTATCCCTCAATTCAGTCCCTGAACTATATGAAAATGTTTAATGTAGTCCCTAAACTTAAATTAATGGAAATGACTGCATTGAACATTTTCATATAGTTCAGGGACTGAATTGAACATGTACCAAAAGTTCATGGATGACATTGAACAAATTAAAAGTTCATGGACTGTTTGTGTCATTTTTCCAACTTTTAAAGATAATGACATAAATTGTCTCTAAATTTTGGCATAATGTGCAATGTGGTCCTTGAATTTTTAAATTATTTAATGTTGTCCTTGAATTTTTGTTACATATTCAATTTAGTTCCTAACGGTAGAACCTAGAATCTACCCATCAAAACTGGTTCCTAAATTTGTGGAACCTCCAATCGACCATGTATACTCTAGAACTTGGAACCTATTATGCCACAGGTTACGAAGCCGGTTCCAGGATCTACCCGGGTTTCACTTGTATTCTTTATTGAACAATTGCAGTGAATCATCACCTTTAATGACCACATTTTGTTGCTCCAATATACTGACCATAACTCATATTTAAATACAAGAAGAATATGAAACATTAACAAAGTAAAAGTATCAATCATTGATATCGCTAGAAATGGAAGCTCAAACTAATGGTTCCAGATTACATACTCATCATCGGAAGCCATGGAATACCGCAGGATTGTATGAAGACATAGAACAAAGACTTGTTCCATGGAATTGGAACCTAACCGTTGAGACCGATTCCCCAATTTTTGGAACCTGAAACCTACCCTGCATACCCTGAAACTTTAAATTAGAGGGATCGGTTCGATTCCCGATTCTACCCTGGAACTATGGTCACCCCTACCTAGACTACGTGAAAATGTTCAATCTTGTTCCTACATTTGAATTACTGGAATGAAAGTATTGAACATTTTCCTATATTTCAGTGACTAAATTGAATACGTATCAAAAGTCCAGAGATCACATTAGACAAATTAGAAGTCTAGAGACCATTTGTGTCGTTATCCCAAACTTTTAAGACATGTCTAAGGAACAAGTCTTGAGTGCTTCCAAGCCAATAACTAAATAAACTAAAATTTTATCTAACAATCGAAAACTTAAAAGATTACCATAAATTTTGTTTTTTTGCGTTTAAAAAATAACGTCATATTGTGAATGAGCGAAGAAGAAGATAAAAAAAATGCGTAACCATATGGTTGATATTAAAAATTCCTTATTTTTTATTGTAAAATCATGTAAATACAAATTGAAATCGAATGTACATAATAAAAATAGCATTGCTAGAGAATGCTGTCTTGTAGTCAACTTTAGTTCGTACAAAGTCAAAGATTTTGAATTCGAGTCCTCATGCTTCTTGGGATCAGATTTTTCCATGCTCTTATTTGTCTTCCCTATTATACATTTCCACGTTTTAATCTCGAGTCAAAATCTAGCTCATTGTGAGAAATTTTGAAGTGTTTATTTCTGAGGGTTAATATCACAAAAAATTCCAAACTAGTACATACGTGACAACTTTATCCCGAATTAATTTTTTGACCACGAAAAACCCTAAATTGGTATATATGTGACAAATGACCCAAAATTAATTTTTTGACAAAAAAACCCAAAACCGGTACACTTGTGACAAATATACCCTCCATTAAATTGGATTTATACAACGAAAAATCATAAATTTGTAAACATGTGACAAACGGAGGGGTAAAACCCTAAATTGGTACACTTATCAACTGTCACGTGTCATCCAACTCAACGATTTGACAGTAAAATTTAACGAAAAATAATGAAAGGTAAATTTGTCACAGGTCTACCAGTATGGAGTTTTTGGTGGTCGAAAAATTAATTTTTGATAAATTTATCACATGTATATCAATTTAAGGTTTTTCGTGATATTAATCCTAAATATTAAACCAAGTCTTCATTAGAATAGTTATCAGTACCCCTTAAAAAAAAAGTCAAATTTTGCTTCCTCTGCTTTTAATGTCGCGGTTTCGGCTCGCTTGATTGATTATTAGCACTTGAGAAGCTTCTGAATTTTATTTGTATTGTATTGCACCATGCTCCACGTGGCTTCGCTTAGATGGGAATCACAAAGTCCAATTCATCCAACTATATACTCATTTGAAAGCATACCAAACATATATTTTTTTTCTAAGCAAGAATATTACGTATGTACATAATCAAAACAAGAGTCTACAAAGCAAGCAACGCTAATGAAACAAGGTGAGCAATAATAGACCTAGAAGAGGGAGTGATGATCATCCCGAGCTGGATTACGTACCGTGGATCGGAGGTTAATAATTAGTACTAGATCAGTCCAATGCCGTGCTGGGCCGGACTTTGGGTATCCGTATGAACTGCTGAGCACAAGAGTGCAGCCAAAGTGACGAGCCAGTGCCGCCGCAGCCGGTGACCCCGAGAAGATCGATTCGAAGGACATTGCGTTTGCACTTGTCTATGCACATGCGTCCTCGGAACATCTAGATAAGATGCACATTCACTCCAAAAAGTGTTCTAGGGTTGAGAACGGTTACCACCAAACCGAACTAAACGGGACTTGAACTGTCGGCTCAATTCGGTCCGATCCGATCTTTTCCATACCGTCATACAAAACTGTCTTTCTACGAATTAAGTTGCTGTGTTTTCCGAACCGGAGACCTACATGTAAGCTAACCATTGCTGTTACAATCGAACTTTGCTGTATCATGCAGCTTTTATCACTGTATTCTATCTGTGTAGAAACGGGACATAAATCTTTAAGGATTGCTTTGTCGTCTCTTACGTGAGAGGGGAGCTGCTTGATACGAATGGCGCAACCGAAAGCATACTCCGACAGCTTATCTTTAGTCGTGTCGTGCAGGATATGCACATTTAGAAAGGAGAGAATCTTGGGAGATAGAGATGGATGGATGGGAATTGAACTGACCTAATCCCATCGCCGAATGGCTCCAATTTAGGTGGGACGATTGTCGACTCAACCGCTCACGCCCTCCATTCAATTATTTTCGATCCATCTCATTGGGACCCCCTTTTAATTATTCGACCGACACCTGAAAAATTCATTACTCTATGGCTTTCCCTAACATGACTTATGCAATATTACGTCTAAGCTCAATAAGTAAACGTTTCGATCGGAGGAGATGCGAATGAAATTCTTCGCGTGAGCATCCAAACGGCCATTTTTGTCGCATGAAGGGACCTCTCGCAGCCCCGAATTCCGGTCGGGGCCGTGATAAGTATAGCCCTCGTCGCTCTCACGCCCAACGCCACTTTACCCTCTACTTATAAATTTACTAATTTTACATACCGAGTTTATCTCATCCTCCTTTGCCACGTCCACTGGCATGTACACTCATTTTACCATCTTCATCTTTCGTAAATCGACGTGACATCGTTCGTCAAGTCATAGATCTAGACCCTTCCTAAGCCAATACCCATGTCCTAACAACTGCATCCAGCTTATACATCCTTTCCTAAACCGTAAATGGTTAGACAGTCATGTCCTATTATACTCATTCGGGTCGAGTTGTGGAAGCAATGCATTCATTTTAAATAATCTATGCCTTGCTCTACTAACTACCGGCCAACCACAGCGATTACACTTTTGAGATTAGCAATAGAGTTAGCCTTAAGTGCGTTCGATTCTCGTCTTCTTTTTCACCTACATTCATGATGAATTTGGTACGCCCTTGGTATAATCAATGTTTATTTATACACTAAGTAGCTTGGTATATATAAATTATGTGGGCTGCATGCTTCGCATGCATGCGCCAAAAGGCCTTGAATACGCCACTCAGATAAAAATAAAAGCTTGAGTGGGCCATTCTTCTCTCGTCCTATCCAATCACACGGTGGAGGTCACACAGCCCAGCTCTTTGCGAACAATGATGAACATTGAGCATAGGCATGGAAACCGACTAGACTATATATTTAGAGAAATTACCCGATGAAGCAAAGAGAAGAATCTTGAGGACCCATGTCCCTCTTTTTTGGATTTGATGCGAGTTCCAATATCTTTTTTACTAATCTAGAGGCATAGACCTGAAGACTCAACTGTCGAAAGATTTATAAATTACTCTATAAGTCTCGTTAACCGGTTAAGTCCAAATCTTTTACTTGTACAGATGGCCCGAATCAAAAACACGTAGCTGGTAGGACTTAAAAAGGTGGCCTCCGGTTCTCGAGCTGGAAATCTCCCGACGCCTCAATATCCAGCGCCAACCCTGTTTTCCGCCTTCTTCCTACAGTTTTTTTTTTCGATTTATTTCTTTTATTTTGTCAAAAAAGTCTTGTGGTTCTCTATTATTACTAGAAACACTTTCATAGTAGAACATCGTATGGCATAATCTTCTTTTTCGATTAAAAGAATTATGATTGTGCTAGTTACTTCATGTGAGATGGCAGGACGATGGACCGACAAAAAGTTTTGCGGATGTTTAATGCTGTTGGACAGTGGGGGCGGCAATGGTGATGGTTCTTGTAGACCGTGCTACAAATAATGAACTCAAGAAATTAATTTGCGTTATTTTCCAATTATAACTCTTTCTTTTTCTCAAAATCCAAGTGTAATCATCTTATTTTCCAAGTATAATCTTACTCTACACGGGGAAGTATGTCCCCCTGTCCAGTTTAGGCTTAGACACCAAGATAATTTCTCCTTAAAATTAGAAGTAAATACAAGTACGAGTGAATTAATCAAGTAAACTGGTCATTCCCATTTGGGCATCTAAGATGCATTATTCTAGAGATTTCACAAACTGAGTGCTCGTGCGACCCTTATTAAGCAAATAAACATGAGAAGTTTCGGTTTTTAGCACGCCCATTGGATCATATATACAATTAATATTCTGAAAATCGATAATATTCGATACTCAAGACGTCAAATAGACAGAATCACAAAGACTCGTCCTCTTATCAAGCTCATTGGATCACTAATTTACCTTTTAATTCTTTGCATATATATACACATTATATATTTAAGCAGAGTTGTTACACAACCAAAACTTCTCTAGCTCGGTAGCTCCCACCTAATCTCCCACTACACAGATATTAACTCAACCGTCAACCGCTTCCCAAATCTCTAATTGATGATAAACAAAGAAAAAAACAAAAAAGACGAAGAAGAAATTCTCTAATCCATACCTCTTCACACACACACTGGCATGGCATGGCATGGCATGGCATGATGTTAATGAGTAACGATACCCTTACCCAACACACCCACATGCATCAAACTCATGCAAACTCAAAAAGAGAGCCGAGAAACTTTTTCCACGTCCCCGTAATTATTATGATTCCTAATTCCACACGGCTCGTTCACACGGTGTACACGATCACGAAGCAAGGGAGCACGGCCCTCGGATTGAAGACCAGCAGATCCTCGTCGTCCAACCTGGTGAGGGCCCCACTCCCTCCCCGCCCGACGACCGAGTCGTACCCCCCGCCCTCCTCCTTGTCCACCTCGTCCGCCTCGCACCCGACCCGCCCCGCCACGACCCGGCACACCAGCATGGCCCGCTTCACGTGCATGAACCCGAACTCCTCCAACACCTCGTCGGGGACCGTCGCGTGCGCCCTCCACCCGCTGGACAGCGTCGAGATGCCGTCCAGCTTCTTCGAGAAGCCCGACTTGATGATCCCGCACACGTTGCAGTACTGCTGGCTGCAGATGCTGGAGTTGCCGTCTTGCCCCAGGTCGCACGTGAATGTCGAGCAGTGGAACCGGAGGAGCTCGTTGCCGTCGGCGACGCACCGCTCGTCCCGCCGCATGGCGGCCCGGGCTGCCCGCGCCTTCACCGACTCGCGGTACTCCTCGAACCGGGACAGCACCCTCGGGCCGTGGTGGATCTTCAGGATCCGGAGTACCTTCAGGCCCCTGCCCGCGGGCCAGCCCGTCTGGAATATGATCTGGACAATGTTGCGGCCGGAGTCCTCGCCGATGAGCTCCGACACTGCGTGCCGCGTTGCGTGATGCTGCTCGAGCAGCTGCGACTTCGGGAAGACCTCGCCACAGGACGTGCAAGGGAAGATTGCGTCGCTGCGGAGGGGGAAGAACAGGTCGGCGGGGTCGGGCTCCGCTTGGAGGAGCGTCCCCGGCCTGGGCTTCTCGCCGGGTGGGGTCGAGGTGAGCTCCGCGAGGGCTTGAGCTTCCGGCGGCGGGACTAGGGAGGCTATGGATCGTTGGGAGTTTCGGGCGGAGGAGAGAGAGGGCGCTGGAAGGTGAGACGTTCGAGGTTTGGAGATGAGGATGCGCTTGAGGCATGACCAGGAGGAAGAGAGAGCTTTGCGGGGCTTGAAGAGGGAGACGGTCGGAGAGGCTTTGCGTTTCTTGGTGCTCGTGGCGGCGGCGGCGGAGGAGGAGGAGGAGGAGAAGATGAAGCAGCCGAGGTGTAGGAGGAGGAGGAGGAGGAGAGAGCGGAACTTGCTGAAGAAGGACGGCGAGGGTGATGATCCGAAGCTCGCCATCGTTTGCAGGGATTGGAGTCTCAGCTTTTCATGTGATCAGCGAGTCGCTTGCCAGTTGCAACTCCTGACCTCTGTGTTCTGTGTTCATGTCATGAGAAAGAGAGAGAGAGAGAGAGAGAGAGAGGTGTAAAGTGAATGATGGAAGAAGAAAGGGAAAGCAGAGAGTAAAGGAAAGGAAAAAGAAGGAAAAGGATGGAATGTAAAGGGGAGGGTGGTGGGGGCATGTTATGGAATGGAAGAATAAAGTTGAAAGGAGTAGGTGTAACGCAACTTCATGGCAGATTAGCATCCTCCTCACCCCCATAAAAAAAAATATTGCAATTAATAAGTCCTGTTGCTGAATAATGTATAACATTATTTACGAAGCGCGCCAAAATTGAGTACGCAAAAGCCTAGTTGTACTTTCTACTATAGATTTAATAATTGAGTGCACCTACTGGTTAAAAGTTTTTAAGGATTTGTACCGATTGAACATTGAGAGTTTGATTGCATTTGGTATGTATTGAGAATTTATGGTCCAATTTTCATCATTCTATTGACGACTAAAACCTTTGAGTCGGCAAATCCGTCGCATCCAAAGGAGGTGCGATGTGCCATGGCCACTAGGAAAGTTCGGTCAATACCGTTCAAGCCTGTATGATACGGAGTAAAGCTAATGGGAAAAGAGAGAGGGAGAGACCTTCCATGTTTGGGTTGCAACAAAGGGAGATTAATGCAAAGTTGGGCGACGCCATAATGAGGTCGACGACTCGATGATTGAGAGAGAGAGAGAGAGAGGGAGGCACCTCAATATTGTCTAATAATGGCGATGCACGACGGCATGTAACAACCAATTAACATCCATCAACGAGCGATATACTGCGAGGTGCGATAGTTTAAGAGGTGACAAAAGGATACGGTGAAGAGAGAGGGTCGATGAGCAAGAGGCTATGGAATCTTAATAAGTTATCTGGATTTTCTCCGGTTTTTTTCTATTTGTAACATTTGTATATTAATTATATGTAAAAAGAAATACACATAAATAAAATATATTTGGAAATAAACCTATGCAAGTTGTATCCATTAGGCGAGGCGGGCCAAATACCAGCTCTACCCTCACTCAAACTGGCAAGCCATCGTGCACCAAATGAAAGTGCATCTGTAGAACCCGTATTTGCAAAAGATCAAATTTTGTGCACAGAAACTCTAGCTCTCTTGGTGAAGTAAACTTTCAAATACTCTATGGTGAAATATGCTTTCAACATACTTAATGTACGACTTCGTTTGTTCTAATCACAACATATAATGTACTAAGCAGGATGGGATGCATATCATGGATAAAGTGATCAATCGATCCCGCTTAAATAAATCTAGACGGTCGATTGCGATGGAACCCACGTGATACCATGGTTTTTTTAATAATTCAAATCCTAACTTTGTAATGCATACATTAATGGGCGGACTACCTCGGCCTCCCGTTTCCAATGTTGGAATTTGGCATTAATGGGCAGGGTTAAGAACACATGACTTTGTCCAATTACCATCCCCCCCATTCGCATCCCAACTTTTCTTATGATGGAGCAACAGCGTGCGCGACTTGTGAGTGTGACGCGGATGCTCAGATCGATGTTTAGTCTAAGTTTTGTACTTTTTCACAGCAGCAGACAAATCTCCCCCCGTCGTTTACGGCAGATAACATCACATGAGCCATTTAGAAAACTATTTTCCTCGTGGCCTGTAAAGAGGCCAGATTTGCTGTTCAGTCCCCCTTGCCTGTGTTGGTTTTTGGGATCCAATGGAAGTTGATTTCTCTTGAGCGGGATGACTGTTCAAAAAGTTATAAATTTATTGTACACAGACCGATTTAGTCATAAATCTTTCAATTGTATCAATTTAGTCCTAAATCTTTTGATGATTTAACAATATAATTCTAAACCTTTCTCCGTGTCAATTTAGTCATAAAGTTTTTGAAGATTTATCAATTTAGTTATAAACCTAGTATTTGGATATTTGAACGGAAGAACTACATTGGTAAATCATTAAAAGGTTTAAGATTAAATTAACACAATTGAAAGGCTTAAGACTGAATTGATCCTCGTACTATTAGTTTATGACTTTTTGGACAATTTTCCCTGCCCATTCGATTTCCAAGTAGCATTGTCGGTAGCGACGACGATAAAAAGGTGGTTTGTCGTTGATCAATGAAACCAGCTGATTCGGGGCGGTTGGACGCTGTCATATTTGTTTTGGGGGTTTAGTTTAGAGGAAATGGTAGTTGGAGGGCTATCGGATAGGCATGAATCGTAAAAAAATGATTGATTGGTTAGACCATTGATGATTGGCTCAATGGTCAAAAGACGAATCCGTTTATATTTGGATTAGTATCACTGCCCTAAATTGATGCATCGGTCTAGCACAAGCTGCAGCCTTGCACATGCGTCGGGCATGGATCACGGCCACGGACTAGACGTGCTCGAACACGATCACGGGTTGGAATGGCAACGGGTCAATGGTATAGGTGAATTGTGCGGATGGGCAAGGCACGGGTTGCTTGCTCTTGGAAGATTTAAGTACCAAGGTACTAATTCACTGTGTGGAAAGTGGTCAAGCACAATGCAAGCGGACGAATTAGTTTACGCAGTTAGTGGGATTTAAGCATGATCTGAATATCAGCGTCGGTAGTATCACGTAGGACGGTCAACATCAATGTGAGTGATTTCCAGCCAAAGTTGATCGGATGGACTCAATCGGCACAAATACAAAAGATTTGGGGCTAAATTGATACTAATGCAATAGGCTTAATTATGACTTTTTTAGTATTTTTCCCCAAAATCAATGGCCGGATACCAAGTTTGTCTGGCTTTGTGATCCGGTCAAGAACAGCAAAGGTAAGACGCTGGTAAGATCCCCAAGGAAATACTCTTCCGAAGGGCCAATATTTCAAGAAACAAAATCAGCTTCGAGCAAAGACGGAAACTCAAACCTCACGCTTTCAAGAGACAAATGTTCGGCATATCGCACCATTAGGAGGGACCCGTCCGGAGAAAGTCCGTTCGGTCTCGCCTTTTGAAGTGATGCGATTGTCCCTATGGAGATCGGGATGCCGAGTTACAGGCTTGAGCACTTTTAACATCTTTTACTAACTCGGGAAAACCCTTTACTTAGATTTTACGCTTGCGGTTATTGTCTGTAATTATAGGGACAGAGAGCTGAACTGACACGAGGAAAAGCATCGAAAAGATGGCCAAGTTACTGCTCTTTCTTAGCCCCAGCAACCTGTGTTAAGGAGAGGCAGTAATCATTGCTCGTTCTAAGGTTGTGTCACGGCGATAATTTTGGATGCAATCGATTTGATACCGAGGGCAAATGGTCGTTCTTTTGCTTGTGGGGGCATCATCTCATCTTCTCGTGGGCAGACTAATGTATTGTCGCGTGCCCTTCCATGTCTCTCGTTTAATGAAATATACATGTCCAGAGGAATTATGAAGTATACGACCCATGAAGTATATCATCAAATTGAATAACATATTCTGGGAAGTATACAAAAAGCATCTATTCAGTCAATCATATCATGTCACTAGGTCTTGCACTGCCTGCTTTGTGATACGCTTTCTCGCCTCGTACTTGCTCAAATTCTCACGGATGGACGACATGTAAAGAACGGTTCCGAGAGACTCTTAAGATGAAATTAAAGATGATAATTCCTGATGTGCCAAGCAAATTCATAATCGCGTCGAAATAATTCCATAACGACACGAGATTCACACGAATAAGATGAACGACTAGTCCTCGAAATAAGTAAAAGCTTCCTTCGCACCTTAGTCCTCAATAATGGAATAAGGTTATTATTTTTGTCGACTGCCGAACACAACAAATTTAACTTTTGCTTTTGGGAAGTAAAATATGCCACAAGATAGGTGACCCACAAAGCTTTTAGGTGTGGTCTCTGTCTCTCTGTGTCTACGCGTTGGGGAATGATAACTGGGTACTCGCAGGAGCCAAGCAGCATCATGGTTCATGATGAAGCGAAGAATCCAAAAGACACTAGTGATCCGTCTGTGTTTCTCGGGTTTATTTATGCTATAAGTGGTTCTGCTCTTTGTTATACAATGAGCATTGGAGTCTCTTGTAATTGTGAAATGTCCCACAATTCATGGCTCTTTTTCAAACCCACCCACCACAAAAACAACCTCAACCGACCCGACCCGGCCCGACGGACATATCCCTAAGATCTTAGATTGTTTCTTTGGAGTTTTTCCTTATTAAAACTACGATTTTGTTCGCAAGGATGCTAAAATCAGTTGAGCGGTCTCAGTGGATTATAAAATCGCTTCTCGTAGTCGTGGTTCAAGACATTTAAATTGGTAAAACTGGACAAAATTGTAAAATCGTGCGGATTTGATATTTTGTGATGAAGTTGACCGAAAAAATTGGACCGAACAATTGGGACTCGTGTAAAATAGCGATATCGAGAAATGAGTTTGGCGTCATATTTGCCCCAGTGCTACATGAGATGAAGTCAGATTTGGGTTTTTTGTGTGCCGGCAATCGAGGAATGAATTCGGACTTCGCTTTAAATTGGGCTCCAATAGATCTGCTAGTTCAACCCATTTACCATCTTAGACCACTGAGATATCTGGACGCCCGCCCATAAAAATGTTCAAAATTAAGAAGAAAAGAATACTAAAATGCCACAATTTTTATAAGGTACGGTGCTCACTATGTTGTTATAACTTTTCAAGCAATCAGTTAAGGATAATAATTTCTAAAAATAGTACATTTTAAAGTGACATCGACCACCTGCGTCGTTGGAAATTCACAAGTAACATTACTCAGACTAAATAATCCGATGTGCCAAAGATTCCAACATTCAAGATATAGATCAAATGACATCATTTGACACCATTAATATGGCAGAAATCGAGAATTAGATTCAGTTTGCTCCATAAACCAAACCTTAAGCCCAAAATCTTCCCCAAATCGAGAAATTAGGTTTAGTTTTATTACTGGAAAACCTTGGCACCAAATTCCAATTTTGATTCGAATGAATTGCTCAGCAGGGAGGGGCCCCGTTTCATTCTGCAGCAGCCAAGGCATTGATGAAATTGAACGTGAGCATCGTCAGAAGGTTTGACGTTGAGGCTAGTTGTGGAGGAGAATGATGAGTGTGGGGAGGGGGATCAGAACACGGGGATCCGACCAATTGACAAGTAATGGGGCCACCTCATCGCAT